CAAATTGGCACTTGTAAAATTTTTCAGATAAATCAAAATTGGTACAGGAAAAAAAAAAGTTTCAAACTGTTTCTTTTGGGATCCTTGGCCATGCTATTTTTGATGTATGTTTTCAGAGGATTGCTTTTGTGGCAGCAGGCAGTTTGTTGCTTAAAGAAAGCTAAAATATTCTAGGAAGTCAGGCTGGCTGAATTTAGATCTTAAGTGATGCCAAAACTAATATAGCCTGTAACTAAGTGAGAGTGACTTTGTACAGTAAATGTCAGTCACCCGCAGCTTTGTCTTACATTTTCATATGAGCCTTTAAAAAAGGAAAACACAAACAAAACCCCAGAAAACGTGGCAGCCGCTGACATCCAATCGAGTTCTAGCTACAGCCTATTGCAAAGGGGAGAGAAAGAGAGGAACCGCTGCTCAGCCCTGGCACAGCGGGCTCTGCTGCGGCCGGGCAGGTGGGACCGGCTCGTCCGGGCATGAAGCGGCGGCGGGAGCGCCGAGCTGGGCTGGCCTGGAGTGCCCTCTCTTGGCTGCTGCAGAAACCTCTGCTCGGCCAGGAAGGGGAGAGAGGACGGGGAGAGTTAGTTTTTGAATTTTGCAGTGTGAGGGACAGAGTTAAGCTGGTTTGGTTGTTTCCAGATCTCCTTCCTAAGGACCTATGATAAACGTAGGGAGTGCGAATCTTTGCAAGCTCGAATCCCTCACCTGAAGCCACAATAAAGGTCGGCAGCATTGCACGTAGGATTCTGTTGTCGTGGAGCTCCTGACACTCTTAACTTTTTAGCAGAGCTCAGGTTTTTAAGAGACCTCATACTGCTGCGAATCCAGGGATCCCAGAGGCAGCAACTGCATTGGCCCTTGCTTGACTCTTTGCACTGCTAAATGAACACAGAACAAATGAGGCTCTGCAAATAAGAAAAATTTGACACCTGGATTCCAGGAAACATTTGTGGATTTTGATGAGGAGCAGTAGGGAAGGAGGGAAAACCTATGGTTCAACATAGTTAAATATATAGTGTGCTAAGTATGAATAAATTGTGACTATTTTAAACAAGTTGATATGTTCTATGGCTGGCTCAAGCACAAAGGAAAAGACAACAGCTACAACATACTAGTTCCTCAAAGGGTTATCTGGAGACCAGCATCCTGAGCTGCTGCTGGTGTGTGGCAGTGGTCAACTTTCATCCTTTGTACAAGTGGCAATTTTTAAAACATGTAATTCTCTTTATCAAAAAAACCCAGCAAAACACAACAGAATTTGTGGTAGTGCTTGTGAGTTAAGAGGTTTTGTCTCCTAACAGCCTTACTTTGCAGTCCAATTCCTTTTCTCATTGTTCATAAATTATTCATTTGTGTAAAGGAATCCTTCAGTAAACTGAAGTTAAAAGTTTCCCTTTCGATGTACCAAGCCCCGCTGGTGCCCATTTTAAGATGACAAAATTGCCTAGGGCTGTCCATGCTCCCTCTTCTGTAATGCAAAGTCATATAATCATTTCTTTAACTGTTGAATTTTAGTCACTTCTGCATTCCAACTGAGTATCATTACAGCAGTGTCTTAGCCCTGGGTTTGGGGAGGTTTCTTCCCAGCCTGTAAACCCCATCCAAGTAAATGAGCCTTTCACTTTAAAGCGCAGACTGAGATCTGGTCCTGACTGCTAGTGACAAAAAATCACTATTATCTAGTTTCATGTGAGCCAAGTAAAAAGAATCAAGAGCCTCAGGGTGGGTGTGCAGTTGCAGTTGGTGCTGGTTTTCCACCTCAAATGGCACTATCTGGTCTGTTAACATGAAGGTGGCCCTGAAGCCCATCAGGGCACTGTGGGAGTGAACTTGATTCTTGCTGTTAGTACAAAACATAAGAATCCGGTTTTCAGCCTGCTGTGAGCACTGCTTTCTTTATAAAATAAGGCAACAACCCACACAGTCCAGTTGTGTGCCCCATTTACAAGCTGTGGGTGTGATCAGTGTTTGCTGCCCTGTTTTAGCAGGTGATGTTCTCTAGGGTGCATTTGGGGCTGGAGTGTAAATCATAAGGCAAGGTTTACAAAAAACATGGTTCTTTTTATTTTGGTACGGCAAGCATGGTGCAGCCCACTGTTGCAATCACCTTTATCTGAAATTAGAATATGTGTTAATGATTGCACCTTGAAATTCGGTAGGTTTGTGTCTTCTCGTGTGGCTTTTGTTGCATTCCTCATGGCAATCGCATTGCGAGTCAGTTCCTGGTAACAACACTCGGGGTTTTTAAAGCACTGCTCCCAGTGCTGGCTTAGCTCTGTCACTGTGGAGTTTGTATCGCTCTTCTCTTCCAGTGCAATAGCTCCCTCTGCTTGAAAACAGCAGAGTAATTATAACCCCTGTTTCGCATTTGCCTGATCTACGGGTTTTAATGTAGGCCCCATTTTTTTAGGATTTCTGCTGCTCATGAAGCATTTTTAGTACACAGCTTGTGCTTGTACATGTTGAAAAGCAGCAGTGGTAACTGTTGTTCTTGAAACTTTACTGTATAGGAACTGCATGTGTTTGCAGGAGCTCAGTCTGCATTGAAGTTAGAGCTGGTTGGAACACTTTTTCAGCTAAATTCAAAACATGATGATTTACTAAAGCCAAAATGTTTTTATTTCAGTGAAAACTTAAGTTGAAACAGGACTGTTTCTCATCAGAAATGTGGTAGTTAGGCCACTGACCTTTAATATCTGCATAGAAGCTGCTAACGGTGAGATTCTTATACCCTACCGAAGTAGTTCTGATCTGGAACCCAAAAAAGATCAGCTTTGGATCAGACAGAGCAGCGATTGGAACCTGGTTCTCCCACATTCTCAGCAAGCACCATAATTAGTGGGCCAGTCATTCACATGCAAATTTTTGCCGGCTTATCTGCATGAGTAAGGATGAGTGCTGCTTTTGTTTTGTTCATTTTTTTATCGATATAGCTAAGCCAGCAAAAGTCATATTATAAAAGCTGTCGGGTCAGCAAAGGTGTAGTTTTGCTGAGAGAGCGTTCAACCATTTAGGGAACCAGCATAAACCCTGCTTGCCATGGCAAGATGAGCCCACGATAGGAAAACTTGCTGGTTTAGTTCTATTAGCAAAGCCTTCCTGATGCGGATGGTGCCTTCCTTGCTCAGAAACAGCTGCCTCAACACGATCCTGCTTTTGCCAAGAGGTCCAGAAGGTTATTTTTATTTTGCATTGGAGCAAGCCCAAAAATTAGAAACATCTCAAAAGTCTGTGTCAAACAGACTGTTTGTTCTGTGGTCAGCTGTCATCAGGGTGGTTAAGGCACACGGTTTTGTCAGCAAGAGCAGGCAGAGCAGACTCTGTACACAAAGGGCAGCAGTAACTACATTTTCAAAATTCAACACTTAAAGCAAATCCTCATTCTGTGGGGTTTTTTTTGTTGTTTTTTTTGTTTTTTTTTAATAGTCTCGGAATCCTTTGGATTCTTCTTCTGGACTTGCTGCGTTTGGGTTTATTTTGTTTCTAAAAATTTCTGAAGGGTTGGCATGGGCTCAGGAGGCAGAACAGCCTTGTGCAGCACAGGGAGATTGCTGGGCTCCATTATCAAGACATAATACTCACAAAGAAGCTTCTTCCATAAAATATGGATACCCAATGTTTGGGAAGATTATAAATGGTAGGGTTAAGCAGCAGAAAAAGAGAGAAATATTAGTAATATGTATTTACTTGAATTCAGGTTTGTTGTGGCTCTTTCTGCTGAGCTCTAATTTCAGCCATTTACAGATATTACATTCATTGCCTCATATGTTTGCACATGCTTGGAAAAAAAGGAAAACAAAACACGTTTTCTTGGAAAGCAATGTATAGTTATATAAAAATCAAGAGTTAAAAACCATTCCTCTTTTCAAATTAACACTGAGGTGCTGAATTGATGGTAGTCTATGTGATTTGGATTTTGTCCCATTCTGTCCCTTCCGTGCCCTGAATAAGATGCAAGTCCTAAGGGAAAAAGAGTACATGATTATGCATGTGAAGACTTAGTGCATGCAGGGAGCAATTCTGAACTTTAGGAGCTCTTATCACAGGAGAGAGAGAGTAATTCTAAGTTTAGAAAAAAACAAACAAGAAAACAAAAAAAACCCTATACATTTGTTTTGAGTCTCTTTCTGGCACTATATAATAACTTAGGATCATTTGATTGGATTGAGGATGAATTTTTAAGTGGCTGAATGCACAACAGAAATTGTATATGACACAATGCAAAGGCTAATACTGGGGGAAAAAAAAATCATTAAGTGATGTGAATATCTTTGCATCAGTTTTCAGTCTCTCCAACCTGTATATTTTCTGCTTCACAGTCCTCTGTATTCACCATCACAGTGTTTATTGTCTTCAGCAATAATCTTAGTTACTCTTCTGTTGCTGTCCCCTGTATTCCCTCTTAAGGAAGCTTTGTGGGTGGAGAAAATGTCCTTTATTAGTTCTCATGGAGATACTGCAGTAATATAGCACATGTATACTGCTGTTTCTTGAATGGCTTGGGTTTGATTTTTTATTTTAATTTAATCTCACTTTTAATTAAAATTTCTAATCTTGCAATGGTTTCTTTTAACAGCAGTTTTCCTGCTGTGAAGCTCTTGAATGGTCTGCAGAATGGTTATTTTATGTCACGTTAGCACGAAACAGACTGGATGGAGGCTCGTGGAAAAGTGCCAGTGTTGTTGTTCTATCTGTGGGTCGGCCTGGCCCTTTCTGTGTATGTAAGAAAAGGGCAGGCAGGGTATCAGTCAGCTTTCAGATCTTAACATTTCTTAATGGATTAAGCAAGTGATGGAATATCTTCCTACTGCAAACCTTTCTTTTTGTAAAGTGTGAGCCTTGGCAGCGTTAGTAGACAGCCCTTTTGGACATCTCAGCTTCAGGTCTGTAGCATTAGATGATGAACGTGTTTAAGTGTCCTTAGATAGTCAAAATAAGGATAATCTTTCTGAGGACTTTGACTGTTTTTTTAATATTTTTTTAAAATATTTTTTTTTCCCCAGGATCCCTTGGATCCAACAAGACCAGCCATTGTGATCAGCTCATTAGTGGCAGGGGGAGTAGCTGAGCGTGGGGGGGAGCTGCTACCGGGTGACCGCTTGGTGTTCGTGAATGAGAAATATTTGGATAGTGCAACTTTAGCAGAGGCAGTGGAGGTGTTGAAATCTGTGCCCCCAGGTACAGTTTCTCTTGGAATCTGCAAGCCTTTGGTGGTAAGGACTGTTTTCAGCTTTTATTTGATTCTATGACATCTGTAGCCTGGGTTGCTCTATTTGGGGTGGGGATGAAATTCAGGGTAGAAGTATGTATGTGTGGGGAAAGCAACTAATTTGCTATGCATGCACATCAACATGTCCAGAAATTCTGGATAGCTGGTGAATTGGCAGCTCCATGTCCAAAATGTCTGACTGGAAAACCAGTGTTCTCAAGTTCCTCCTGAACATGGAATCTGAAGACATGCCTGGACAAACATATGCACGCTGGGCCTTATGCATAGGTATAATGTGGTTCAGGCAATTCAGCAAATCATTTAAATATGTGGTGAAGTCCATTTCACTCTAAAACACTGCTAAGTGCTTGCTTGAGCTCCACTGACATCAAAGAAACTTAATCTGTTTGAAGTCAAGACTATAAATTCAAGTAGAATTTCCTTTTTCTAGAACCAGGGCTTTGGAACAGACAGTAGTTGACTTGAGAACACTGAAGTATTGTTCATCAAGGGCACCCAGGCAAAATTAATTAAAGGAAAGCACCATCTAATAGAAAGTGCTTGTAATTCAAACTGGTAGAGGAGTGGTGCAACAGGAATGTGAGAAGGCTGTTAAATATATTGTTTCCTTTTCTAAATAGTGATCTGTCATTGCTAATATCCTTGTATTTCTCCTTATTTCCTACATATCTCTCTATTTTTTACTGTATCTGTACTAATATCTTAAAAGAATAAAAGCCATTGTCTTTGTCTCCTCCATTTATGACTTTTCTTTTTTATAATTCTGAAACTTTTCCCCATCTCTTTTCTAATGGCTGGTTCTCCCTCTCCCTTTTGCTTTATTGAAAACTATGGGATTTGTTTTGTTTTGTTTTGTTTTCCTGTTGGTTTTTTTTATTGTCTCTCTTAGGGAGAAAGCAAAGAGGAGGAGACCATGCACACTGTGGATTCCAGCAACATTAAAACCAGCCCTGGGTCTCCAGAACCAACAGATAATATTAATTTCTCAATAATACTGGAAGCACCACAGGTATTTGGTTACTCTTTTGCTTCAGCTTAAGTGTACACAGACAGGAAACATTTTAAAGTAAAAAAAAAACCAAACAACACAGTATGTCCTTCAGATAAGACTTTAGTTTCAGACTCCACGCTGGATTTCCTCTGAAAAAGATTCTTAGCAGCTAACTGTATACTAATTTATTGTGAACACTAAACATACGCGTAGCACTTACCAATGCAATTCCCAGACTGCCTTATCAAATTTGTTATGCCATTAAAATACCTTGGGTTACCTTGGATATGAAATAGGAATGCTGTGTTGTTAGTCATAAGTAGCTGGTTCAGCTTTGCAAAGAAGTAAGGAATGGAAGCAGAACACTTTTTATTATAATGAAGCAAAACAAAGCAGTCTGGTATGTAAGGCAAGCTTGGAATCTCTTCTTCCTAGATTTCCTGTGTGGTTTTGAGTGATTTCTTTACTCTTTTCCTCAGTTCTCTTCTTTCTTAGTTTCTAAAAAATAATTCTTTTCATTGTGGGCAGATGAGTCACCAAAGATTGTGAGAAATTCAGATACCAGGGTAATGGGCAATAATATTGCAACAATGACCTGTGTAGAATGAGAGAGATGTGGATATTTTTTAATTTTCATCTGCTCTCAAGTTCTTTGCAAAATATTTTGCATTTTTTTAGACCAGAAGTGACAATACATAAAGGATCATCCAGAACTGCAACACAGTAATAAAACTAAACTCTAGATTTTCTTGTTGCCAAACATGTCTACCTGTATTTGGATGCAAACATATATTTAGTGCTGAAATGGTATATTAGAACCTCCAACACCAGCAATATTACCGGGTAGATGTACGTGTACTAAATAGAAATCAGCTTGGACATGATACTTGCTGATTTTCATGCTGTAAAATGGAGTTTGTTGTTTTCTGGGTGCTTAGGAAGTGTTCCTGGCAGAGCAATTAAGTCTTCTGCCAGCTTAGATTGGTTCTCTGCTTCCTAAATACTACTAATGTTACTAAGATTTTTAATAAGTATTTACTTTAAATAAAGCATCTTATCTTAAAGTCTCTGCTGAATATAGAAACCAGAGTGATGAATTTGTACAAAATACACAGATATTTGCTTGTATTTTGTTCTACTTTCTGTATGACAGCCCTGAGAGTAGCTTAGAGCAATTTTCATCCATTTATTATCTTACCTGCTCATACGAGAGACAAGAGTGGTGTGTCAGGATGGCTGCCACCCTTCTCCACTAGCATAGTGCTGACAAAGCTGACTTTAAAATAAAATAAAATAAATAAGGGAATGTGAAGATTTGATATGCCAGGACAGTAGACTTTACTGTCAGGTCTGCAGTATTCCCTGTTCCATTGGTAGCAGCTACTGCTGCAGTGCAGCAGCCAGTGATGTTACACTGAAGTGCTGGATCAGGAGATGGCCCCACAAATGGCTGCGTGATCCTGAGCTACGTCAGCTCTTGTATCCAATGGTGGAGTTGGTGTCTCTCACAGAAGTGTTTGGAGAATGATGCTGCAGCAGTGAAGGGAAATGAAGTAAAGATGGAGAGAATTAGAATCTCTTCAGACTGGGTATTTTTTGAGATTGAGGTACACAGGCCAAATAGATGAAAGGAATGTTAAATGCTTATGAAAAATGTGCTAATTTCTAGATTGCTAATGTTCTGCTCTCATGCCAGCTACTATTACTGCATTGTTTCCTTATGCTCTTGTTTTCCTTTCTGCCTCTCATTTGAACAACACAAACATTTTTGGCAGCCTCTGGATTGTTGTTTTGGTTTTTTATTTCTGCATTTGTACAAACTTAAGAAAACAGGATTCTGACTCTGAAGGTCAGAAATGGTGAAGTACCTTGGGGAGCCTGGGAAGGGGCAGGAAGCAGAAAGAAAAATATTTTGATTGAGGACCCCTGAATCTGTAGATTGCTTTTAGTGTTTGGGGTTTCAGTGCCTTGAAGATGGTGTTTGGGCATTTGTACTCGGTGGCCTGAAGAAGAGAAAGGAAAAGCTTTCTGTGTGTGGGAAGCAGGACAAGGTGTTGAATTTCAGGTACCTTTGCAGACCCTGAGCCAGTGAATTGCACTCCACTCAATTAAGGAGAAACACAGAGCAGTGGAAATTGTGGAGGCACATCACAAATCCCAGGAAAACAGTTGAGTGAGATCTTTTTGAGTGGGTTTTAATACCTTTCTTTTTGTTTGGTTGTTTTTTTGGCTTGTTGCTCTGTGGTTTGAATTCAGTAGAAAGTTCTGTTTAAAACAGTAAGGGCATTAGATAATGAGCAGTCAGTTATGTCTTTTTTTTCCTTTGAGGCTACGGGTCATCCATTTCCCCTCCAAGCTAAGATATTGTATGGCATAACTAAGGGAGGGACAAATGAGGTGCTTTTGTTTTGGTTTTCTTTTATTGCTGATATTATTGCATAAGCAATTCTCAGGCTGTTTTTTATGTAACTGATGGTATGGTAAGAAATGTACATGCATTCATAAAGCAACAGCAAATAAGTCTGGAGCACACAGATACTTTAGCTCCATTTATATATACTTATTCCTCCAGTCTTTTCAATGCTATTTAAAAATTCCCACTCCATAACTTCAGTCCAAGTTACCAGAGTGGTTTTTGTGATGACTGCAGTGACTTAAATGTCTTTATATTAAAAAAAAAAAACACCTTGCAGTGTCTACTTCTGGTGTTAAAATCATGTCAGAGAGTGCATTTTCTTTCAGAAAATGCAAAAGGTAGAAGATCTTCAGTTTAAAAATCAGGATGTGCTTTTAATATGGGCCTAACATAAAACATAGTTGAAAATTATAGAGTTAGGAAGAAACATAATGTAACAATCTATATTCCTGTAATATTTTGTGCAGGGTTTCAGAGATGAAACACCTTTTAAAGAAGAACTTGTTGATGAACCAATTTTGGACTTGGGAAGATCATTTCAGCTTGCTCAAAATGACAATGAGTACGAGAAGGAGTCCTGGGAGATGCATGAATTTCTGAAACCCAGAACAGAAGATCTGGATGAAGAACGGGAAATGTTGGTGGATGATGAGTATGAAGAAGATCCAGACTTGTTTAAATATAATGCATCAGGTGGACAGAAGGCACCTTCAGAGAGGAACCTCAATACAGAACGATGGGCAATGCAAGTTGAGACTAGTGAAATACAAGGCTTAAGATCCAGTGGAAAATTAAGTCCAAAGCAGTCCCTGGAATATCCATTCAACAATGATCAAATGGTAAGGAATGTTGGGTTGGTCTCGGTGCTGTACCCTAACCAGGGGACTTGTATCTCAAGGCAAATTCCAGACCTCAACTCTGTAAGGAGTCTTTCTAGTGTTTTAATTACCAGATGAGATCTGGGTATCTAACGAGCACCAGCCTATGCTCTTGTACATTTCAGAAGTTTCTCTTGGTTCTCTAGTGTCTGTGTATTGAACTGCTCAAATGAAACACATGCACTGGTTGGTAGATTTATAGGCATCCTGTACTTGAGTCTTCTTTCCTGTCTCTGACTTCTGGGCTTGGTTCTTTTTTGCAAGCTCTACTCTTATGGTACACGTCAGTAAGAGCAGAATGGTTCAGGGTTTTACTAGTCCAGGGGCTTCAGCAGCAATGTCAGTGGAAGGATCTTTTCCTTTTCCTCATTTTTAATGCAAGTCACTTCCTTTAGCCAGGTGATAGTGCAGTTGAGTGACAAATTATATGGTGGAACCAATTGTAACAAGCAGACTGGTGGATGAAGAGTAAAAGGAGACAGAGCTTCATGTAAATTGTGAAACTGTGATTTGTGTGTCCTCCTCAAGTATTCTGAGAAATTTTTATCCTTCTGAGTCTTTGTTCACTCACTGGCTTCTGAGATGTGTGCTTTTATATGAAAAAACTGAAGTGGAAAAGGATGTAATATCACAGCCACAGAGAACTTCAGGCTTCATTTGGCTTCTCCCCTTATGCACTATGTACATAAAAAGGCTAAAATGCAGCTTGTAGTGACAAGTTGTATAGCAGAGTGCATAGTAGTATATTTATACATTTGTCACTTAAAAGCCACAAATGAGCAAGAGTAAAGAACTTTTTGTCTGAATTACAGGCAGGTAGATAGATACAGCTGCTTTATATTGCAATTGCACATAACACTTTTCACACTTCTTAATACAGTGCATAAATGAGCAGTTAGTACTTCATAGTTACCTGAATAAATGTCATTGAGAATACGTTAAGACTTGCTGTAAAAATCAATTTTCCTGTCACATACCTCTGTATGACTCAATACCATTGCTTTCTAATTTTAATTACTTTTGTTTTTTCCCTCTATGAAGTGTGAAGAAAATGCTAGTGTAAGTTCCCTGTCTTCTGGAACCACAGCACACAGTGGCTACCAAAAAGACATATTTGATATTGAAACTACCCTGTCAAAAAGCAAGATGGATTTAGGTTTGTAAGAGGTTTTTTCTTTACCTTATATTTACAAATTAAGTTTTATACTGAAACACAAATTATTTCAAACGATAAAATATTCAAATGAAGATTTCTCCAGGCTCAAAACAGTTGATCTTAGTTGAGCTAAGGGGTTTATTTCTGATGATAACTGGTAGTAGGTACAGGGACAGGAAGCAGTTTACATCCACACCTTTTCTTCTTCAGGTACAAAGCTTCAGATTGACTCTAAAGGATGTGAACTTGCTGTTGATCTGGAAGCTGCTGTAAAGGAAGAACTAAAAAGAGAGGATTATGTTTTTTCTAAGAACGGGGAATCTGGGAGAGTTACCACCTTAACTCAGTCTAGAACAGCATTATACAGGTATAAAAAAAAAATAAATCAGTTTTCAAATTATTTTCAGTTGATGCTCTTAATTTTCCTTCTTGCTTTACTTGGCTGACTAATCATCACAAGCTGTGTGAAACAGCAGGATGTACATAGATGGCCAGTTTTGTGCCTTCTGCCTAAGGAACTAATTTTGCCTTACAACCTTATGGAATCTTCACTTCCCATTTTTCCTCTCCTCAGCACTGGGACAGAAAAGTGCAAATGGCTCTGCCACATACCTCTCTTAGTTCACAGTGAGGGGATGATGGATGTGGCCTGGAGGAGAGTGACATAGCCTTTACCAGCAGCACTGGTCATGGAGCTCTCCCCTTGGCTCCTTATCACAGCTTTGTCCTCTTTTTCCCTTTGTTCTTCCTGTTGGGTAGAGTAGTTGAGCAATGGCTGTGCAGGGAATTTTAGTCTTGTCCAGTGCTGCTGAGGAGCCTTGACCTGGCACTGGTTGATATTTGTCACAGCTGTCAAGTTCCGCCACCAGGTTTGGGTGAGTGGTTAGTGGATGTGCCTGTTGATTCGAACTCTCAGCACTTCCATAATCCATCTGTAACCTTCCCTCACAGGGAAATCAGCTCAACAATATGGTCAGGGGATTATTTCTCCAGCATCCTACTTCATTTTTGCAGTTAAAGAGTAGCATTTACAGCTCTCATGATCCACAGAAAATGTGTGCAAGGATGTATTGTTTCAACCTTCCTGTGTGGGCATGCAATTGCACTTCCATTCCTCTTCTGTGAATAGATGAGTCACATATAGTATACAAGTTTAATTAACACCCTATTCTAGGGTCTTTAATGGAATACACTGGATTTGTTGCCCAGTTCCATCATGATCTGCTTTCTGGTCAGCTAGACTGGTTTTATCATGTTTATATCCCTCTATAAGAATCACAGCACATATATCAGAAAGTAAATGTTAATTGCTTAAATATTCTTTTCAAATGAGTAAATGCAGCACAGATTTGTGTATCACAGAGCAGCTTATAAATTTGCTCTGCCCATCATGTTTATTTCTGGAGCATTCCTCAAGTACATTTAAACCTAAATACAAAAATTCCTGTCTAGTCTGTTGACTACACATTTAGTTTCAACTGGACAGAGCGAGAAGGCATTGCTGTCTCACTGCCAGACACAAAACATGCAAGGAATTGTGACCTAGCATGGGTGATGCCTTCTTTATTTTTTATTCCTCCCCTATCTCTGCCCCCAATTAGTGAATTACCTGAGAGAGAAGAAGGAGAAGGAGAAGAAACACCAAACTTCAGCCACTGGGGACCACCACGGACGTATGTTCATCAGATTACATATTTCTTCCTATTTACCTTATGTCTTTTTTTCTATGAGCCAAATTAGTTCTCGTTTTTTTTCCCTCCCCTCCTCTGCCAATAACTTTAAGGTCCTTGTCTACCCTGAGCTTTCTTAGATACAGTGAGCTTTTAACAGATGTTCAACAGAACCATGTCTTCTATTTATACAGCTGACTTGGGAAAGATTGGTGGGTTCACGTCGTGGATGACCTACCAGTTCTTGCTCATTTAATAACTATTAGGTGTGAACAATGCACATAGTGCTGCTGTCTCCTTTTCATGGGTTCTCTGCTAAACTTAATGGCAGAATTCCAAATTGCCCAGCCAAGTTTTAGCCACATCCTCATTGTATTGTTAACATTTTTAGGTGAATTGTTTTTATGGTCCTACGTAAAATATGATCAGAAAAGTTGCTTAAGCTGATTAATAGGCATCTCTGACACATGAAAGTCAGTGTTCAGAAAGATGTATGAGAGGCTTTGAATTACTATTTGTCCAGCATGCCTCTTGCAATATTTGCCATTTCCCAGCAATTTCCTCAAACTGAAAGAGGATGAGTGCTTACTTGAAAACCTGCCTGGTTTACCCTGACTTTCTCTGAAATAAAAGCCTATTGGAAGGGCTTGGGTGGACAGCAGGATTTTGTTCTTTTTGTTCGGTGAAGTCTACTCAGGGTAAAAGCCACCTCTGTTGAGACCATTCTTAGGCTTCTGGCCTTATCCCCTTATTAAATCTTCTTCAAAGACCAGAAATTTACAGTTATTTAAGGCTTTGCCTTTATAATTAAAAAAACCCAAAACAACCCTGTTTCAAGCTGTGAAACTATCTGTACTTTTTCAGTGTTGAGATCTTTAGAGACCCTCATGTGTCTCTTGGAATCAGTATTGTTGGTGGACAAACTGTCATAAAGCGCCTGAGGAATGGAGAAGAACTTAAAGGGATCTTTATCAAACAAGTTTTGGAAGACAGCCCAGCAGGAAGAACAAGGGCTTTAAAAACTGGAGATAAAATACTTGAGGTAAATGCAGATAAACCCACATTTTTATTATAAGAAATAAAGATTAACTCAGGTTTTGGAGGAAGGAGAGACAAAATACCACCACCCCTTCATGAAGTATTGATGACAATGTGTTTGGAAAACCAAAAGAAACCCCTGGTGTTGCCTTTTCTTAAGTATAGAGGAGAAAGTTAAAAAAGCTCCATAGTCAGACCTTAAAAAAAGACAGGTCCTGTTAACTGATGGGGAAATGAAAAAAATGAGTGCCTTTTTCCCATGTAAATGAGTAATAAGTTATACCATACCTTTATAAGCATAAGTTACAATATATAGAACAACAGGCTCTTCATACTGAAATTTGGTCTGTTACTTTGTGTGTATTAATTTGGAATAGTCAACAGTCTGATTAACTACTGTTTGGGGAAATCCCTTGATTCTGGCAGGTTGTGTAGGGGAGGAAGCCATTCCTGGCTCTCATCTCTGGCTCTGTGCTAGTTTTTCTACCCATTTTTCACCAAATGAATGCTGCAGAATGTGGGTTCCCAAGCTGATAGTGCTGTTCTTGTTTGTGCTTTAGAGTTGTGTGTGAAGCTTGGAAAAAATATTTCAAATCAGGTTTAGTTCACAAACAGGTAAAATCTGAAAAGTTGTTTTTTACCTACCATTATATCTAGTATTCTCTGGACAATCTTATCCCAATATTTTTATCTAGAAGGATTGCTTTGGGAAACATATGGTCATCTTGTAATTATTAATACTAATTAATACACTCTTCCTTAAACCATCATGGAAATATACTTTTAAAATAATTTGTCTTGACTGCTTTTAGACTCATAGAATGGTGAATGTTGGAAGGGACCATAAAGACCATCAGGTTCTAACCCCCCTGCATGAGCAGGGACACCTCCCACCAGACCAGGCTGCACAAGCCTCATCCAACCTGGCCTTGAACACCTCCAGGGAGGGTGGCAGGCACAACCTCCCTGGGCAGCCTATTCAGGCACCTTCCTACCCTCATGGTGAAGAATTGCTTCCTGATGTCTAATCTAAATCTCCCCTCTTTCAGTTTAAAACTACTCCCCTTTGTCCTATCACTGCTCTCTCTGGTGAAAAGCCCCACCCCAGCTTTCCTGTAGGCCCTACAGCTCTGGGAGGTGCTCTAAGGTCTCCCTGGAGCCTTCTCCAGGCTGAACAGCCCCATCTCCCTCAGCCTGTCTCCAGGGCAGAGATATGGTACCTTCCTCAGGTATGCTAAATGTTCTGCAAATCTGTGTGATCTCTTGAAAGGACTCTGTGCCAAAAACAAGCTACCTAATAAAAATAAACCTTGCTTTTTAGGTTTCTGGGGTAGACCTCCAAAATGCCACACACGAGGAAGCAGTAGAAGCCATCAAGAATGCGGGAAATCCTGTCGTGTTTGTGGTTCAGGGTTTGTGTAACGTACCGAAAGTAAGTTTATTTCTCTTTTGATTCCAAAACTTAATAAATGTGTAATATCTTATTTTGAACTTGGATGAATTTCTTTCAGCAAGTTCCATCAGTTTTTGTGTCCATCCTTTCTGTCAGTGTTTCTGCTTATGATTGATTACTTGTCTGGCCTGATTTGAAACCTTGTTTCTCTGGTGTAAATCTGCTGGCTAGGTGTTAAGTCAGTTCCCCCACCTGTGTAATTAAGTCTGGATCTGTGTGTTTTAATTTGTTCATATTTCACAGTCTAAAACTACTCTCAGTTATCCAAATGAACAAAAGTGTAATTAAAATTAGCCAGATTCACACTAGCAACTCCGTGTAAAGTATGTCATCAAAGAGACCTGAAGTAGTTATTTGGGAAGAAGTTAAATTTCAAGAGGTTTAGACCTCTCCTCGTCTGCAAGGCGAAGGCAAGAAGCCTTTTAATGCCTTAGAAAAAAAAGGCTTACAACTCTGTCTGCCCCCCAAGACTTCTGTGTACTTTTGGTATATTCTGACAATGGTGGATTAGTAGACCTAAGGAGACCTTTTTGACAACTGTAGACAAATCTGGCACAACCATATCCATTATTTTTCAAGTGCCCCAGGGAGTCTTTCAAGATCTATTAAGACTTTCACCAGCTATGCTGGGAAGATGCTCAAGCAGTGATGGCAAAAATTGCAGTGATGATAACTGAGCTGGGTCCTTTTCTCTATCAGCCTTTTCACAGAAAAGATCCAAAAAGACTGTCAGAACAATCAAGTGTTCAGCTGCAGCTCTGACCATTACTTTCCTGGCCAATCTAGAGAGATCAAGGGAAAGATGGACAACTTGAAATTTGAGTTGTTTTGCTTTGAACTGTAAGCTGTAGGAAACTGGGCATTCGCAGCCTTTCAGCAGTGCTGCACAGGCCTAGCTCCCATTCACCAAAATAAGGTGCTGCCAGAGGAGTGGGAATAGATAACATCTTGAAAGAATAAAGAACAACAAAGAGGAATATTATGTGGAAGCTAGACATGTTCTCTTTCATAAGGTGTATGTGTGCATGGACTGTGGTCTCTATCTGAATAATTAAGAACTGACACTTCAGCAGTCCCTGCTGAACTCAGTGTCAAGGATGTGCATTCCTATTGGTGACTTCAGAGTGATGCTTAATTGAATGAAGAGATGGGGCTAAATATCAAACAGTGAGCCTAAAAAAAGTAGAGAATATTTATAAAGTCATTTAAAGACTGCAATGCAATGAATATCCTTCTACGTGGAGCAAAATGAAGAGTGCACTGGGTAGCTTTATTGTTGTCATTCCCTAATTTTTGGATGTTTGTTTGTTTTGTGGCCATAATGCTCTTTTTAATGTGTGCAATATATATTATTTTCAGATGGTTTCTGCCATACAGCCTAAGGGAATCAAAGTCAGCAATGATCAGGAAGAAGACAAAGAAAAGAAGAGTGAAAAGGTATTTATTCCATTCAGTGCTATACCCAAGTTTTACTACATCCAATGGTATAATAGCATGCATTTTAACTCTATGATAAGTCCCCCTCCCCAAAGTCTGAAATGAAATTTGAAGTGTTTTTGTTGAAATATCTTTGATTCAAGTAATTTTTGCCGTATTTCTGCCAAGCACAAGGCAGGTTTCTGACAAATGTTCTGTGGATCTCCCCTGGGTGCTGAAACCCTGTATTTATTGCAGCTCTTCCCTGGCACCTTTCTGGAAGTACCTGCTTTGCTTCATGTGGAGGCAAATTGATTCCCTTTGTTCAGTAGAAACAGAGAAATAATAACATGTACACAAATTATATCCTTAATGTGAGGCTGTGTGAAATTCAGTAGAATCATGTTACAGGATAATTAAATCCACCAAGTCTCCTACATTTCCCATTCCTGTGTCAAACAAGGAAATGACCGAGTGATCTGTAGCTGGCCAGCTAATTGTGAAGCAATTACTGCTGAGGAGCTTCCAAGCAACTTCACAGCAGATTTAAAAGAGAAAAAAATGTTTGGTCTAAACCAGTGGATTTGTTTTAAATTGCTGCAATAAGGGAAAAATTAATTTCTCCTTCCCAGCCAGGTTACTCTGATGGCCAAGGTGTTTTCCTGTGGGAACTGTGCTGGCTGGTGAGTGCAGGTCAGGTGCTTTCAGAGTTGGAACGGGAGGAGCAGAGACAGAAGTAGTGCAGACAATAACTTCTGCCTGGTGCAGTTTAACATGCCAACAATAGGATGAACTTTTCATTTGATCCTACTCGGTTGTCTGGTGTGTGGTGGGTAACTGAGAAGGCCCTCTTGCCTCCAAAAGCTTTTGTGAGGCTCCTTTCAGGTCCTGCCAGATACAGAAGCTATGAGGCTCAGTTATTCAAAAAAAATCAAGAAAGGTGTTGAAGTCCTGCTTTTATGCCAGTGGATAATACTTACAATGAGCAGTTACAATCTCCTTTTCTTGGTTTTGTTATCTATATTTCTAATCTCAAAAGCACTCATCCTCTTGAATTGTGCTGCCTTTCATGTCCAGGACTCCAGCGTGTTGCGTTCTATAGCATTCAGAGGTGAAAGACGGAGCCTAATCTTTTTCAAACCTTTTTCATCTACTGGTGCTGTAAACTGATGGGTGGAATATAGAAGAGCTTCAGTGCATAAATATGTAGCTCCCTTTTAGCTTTGAACGTTGATTCACAAAGCAGTCCTACTGTGCTACAGTAGGGGCATCTCTGAGTTGGAAAGAGTTGCTGTTAGTGGATTACTAGGCTGCGTCCCTGTGGGGAATCAATGATATTTCTAGTCCAGTCTTCAAGGTGTCACAAAGGAGTTTGGTTTGAAAGCAGTTACATCCAGCTGGAAAATCTGCCTGTCCCTGTATGATGAATTATCTTTTCAACACTGCAGGTTTTCCCTGATTTGTTGGTGTTTATTCTCCTCTATTGATCTATTTGTTTAAAAATGATGAAGTGATTTATATAAAACACTTAAAACAATTGAGCTGCTTCTGGACAAGCCAAATATTGACATTATTTTGCTGGCTGGCTATGTAAACTGGGCTTTTGCCTGTGTGCTGGGAAGAGCTGTGTTAATAAAAAACCATGGTATAAAGGGGTACCCTGACACAATTTACTCATCTGACTTTTCAGCAGATCTCTTGGGATGAGGAGACAAGCTTGTCCTTCTGAGCCATGGAAAACTGCTGGATAAGCTTAGGTGTCTTGTATAATTTCACACAGACTTTCTAACAGATGTTTAATGTCAAAAAGCCAAAGGGTCAACATTTATATATGAGTCATTACTAAATTATAGTGATACTACTGATTTGTCATAGGCAGCTGCAAGTGGAGCTGCAGATTTTCCAACTTTACCTGATCAGTAATGTAGAACATGGGTCTTCCTTCCAAGTGCTCATATTATATACTCTTACCACTATTGGACTGAATTCATTTGTTCTTGTTATGCTGTCCTCAATACAGCACTTTTCCTGTAATGTCTTTTTAAACGGATGGGATGATCTTTAACTTATCTCACAAAATTTTCTACCTAGCTTGCATTGCAGTTTGCTAGTTATCCAAATTTAGGCTCAAGATTTTAGAAATCCATGTGCAGGTTCAGCTTTCATTGTACACAGTGAAAAATTTTATCCTAAGTTTGATGTTTAGGTGTTGAGTTGTATTTCCCAGCTATAGAAGAAATTAATTACAGGCATTCTGGTTGCTCTAATGGCTTTTCGTACTCAGTGTTCCCTTGCTGAAGTGCATCTTGCTATTAGTAGTGGGGTTGCATGGGATACAGTGGAAGGTAATTCAGTGAAATCATGTAACAAAGTAAGGCATGATCCAATTACTTTGGAGCTATAAAAACAGCTGCTTGGAGGGACAAGTGCCTGTTTCCATTGGAGTCGGATCCTATTCTTCACGCTGGCCATGCGCCGCTATATTCATCATTATAGGAGCTGCCTGTATCTGTGTGAGGTAAAGGAATTTTATTGTAAGTTATAATTGAAAATATTTTCTTAAGTTTATGCCAAAATAGTAGTGAACTGTTATGTTCTAATATTCATAGATGCACTAAGAAGACTGGGTTTTTATTTTATATTTAAAAGTTTGACTTTTATCGGTACCAGGCAGGTTTGGTGTTGAGTCTGTAATAAGGAAGGAGGTATAATTTAATGTTTATTTTTGAGCCTTGATAAATGTTTGTGATGATACACAAGTACTTTGTCAACAAGTAAATGTGCATGCACAATTGTTATTTTCTTTTTTTGATGTTCAGTGTCACTTCTTGTTCTGTTTTCTTGTGTAAAATCCTATGCTGCAGAATTTAGCATTGCAATGAAGTGCTGTGTGTGTACACATGCAGTGCAGTAGACAATGTGATTTTTGTCTTGTGCATGGAGGTTACAAAATATGTACCTATTTGTCTTCGAATCCATTAGAGAAAATATGGGGCTCCACCTCCAATGAAATTGCCACCTCCTTATAGAGTGCTTGAAAGACTGCATGCAGAAGAAGCTAGTGTGGATGAAGAGGAGGATGAGGATGCTTGTACAGAGGGTGAGTAGTGCCACAGTCATTACATCAGATGACACTGAGACGACACAATCAGGTTGTGATAAATGTATCTGCTTTTTCTTGCCTATGTTATGGGAAGCACTGCTCAGTGTGACAATAGCATACTCTCCTCAGCCTTGGTCTTACCAGGGGCTGCTGAGTTGCAACTTGGTCTTCTGTTCCCAGCCAGGCTCCCATAGCTCAGCTCTTCTGAAGAGGTACCGGAAGAGCTCTGTTTATTTTCAGTCTAAAAATGTCTAAGCAATGTCTAGAGGACTTGCTTTGGCAGGGATGTCAGTGGGGAAGGGCAGATGTTGTGCTTCTCTGTTGTTGCAGTGGTAGTTGAGCAGGCGAAGGCTGTGACCCACTGGTGTGCAGTCCTTGTCCAGAAAAGCTGCAGCTGATTTCAGACAGTGCTGTTCAAGCAAAATATTTTCCTTTAAAAACAAACACCTGCTGGTTTATTGCTTCAGTACTCTAGTGGAAAAAAAAGGATACCCTTTTTTTGAAGCACCTTTCTGGGAAAGGTTCTGCAATTTTTCAGTTCTGGGTTTTGCAGTGAATTGTGATAATACCGTGGAAGAGTAGAGACCTGAAGAGTAGGATGCACTGCAACTTAAGAGCTGCTGGCAGTGGGACTTTGATTCCAGCATACAGCTTTTTTAATTACAACTTTGGATAAACAGAATAGTATTATCCATAGCTTATCTTCCCATAAAATATTTAGGAATACAAAAAGAGTAGTCCTAAATTATTTTCTAAAATTGGTTACTTTTTATTTTTGCCTTTATACTCTCTTGTACCAAATCAGCATACATTTGGGCTTTTGTTCAGGTTTGGTTTGGGTTGTTGTTGTTTTTATTCTACAGTGATTTTTCTCACCATCATCTGTCTTGGAGTGGTTTTTGTTTGCACTAGTTCTGGGTAAGTCAACGCAGAGATGCCTTTGTAGCTTTTGACCTTGAAGCAACCATGGCTCCCATTCAGAGTGGAAGCTCCTAATTTGGGGCCTGCTGGTGGGAAAGCTTTTCCAGCTGCTCTTGCTGATTTCCTTGGCAATGGTGTGCCATTGAAGCCGAGATAATTAATGAGTTTGGTTGGTTTGTCACTTTTAGGGCTGCTTTGGTGGAGATGAGAAGGATTTTGGAAGGTTGTTCTCATGGAAACAGTACTGGGGGCACAGAAGCAGGGTGTTCAGCTCTGCCTCTGTTGCTTTAAGGAAAAGCTGTGAGTTCTTGAACCAAATGAGATTCTTCCAGAACTCCCCCTTACTGAGTTTTTCATCTCATCTGTTTGGAGTACAACACACAGTTACCTCAAGAAGGTTTTTCAGTGTTTCTGTGGGAGAGTGGTAGTCAGGAGGAGCATTTGACTGCAGACTCTGTGCATGTTGGATTGAATATATCATGAGCTTTCAAACCAACTGTAAACCTCCAATTGTAGCAAACTGATTTCAGCTTGTTATTAAAGTTATAATTCGCAGTTAAGTAGCCTGACACCTGAGGTATCTAATTAGGATGTGCCTCAATCTCAGTGCTTGCTAAACCTAAGTTAATATTTTGCACAGAAATAATATCTTATTGATGGGCTTGGTCATTTCTCAGCAGCTCAGCCATCCCTAATGATATTGCAGGCTGAGACTAATAGCTGAAAAGGTAAAGCTCCTTCTGATATTAAATTCATCAATCCTACTGGATTTGGCAGCAGCAAACAGAGCTATTCAGATTAATCTCCTTCTCTCCACTCTTTTTATGAACTGCAGTTGAATGTTTTGCAATAGCCATCGTTGCCATGAATCTTGGAAAACCAAGATCTGCATTTTCCATTTCATTCTTCCCCACTTAATTCTGTTTCTTTAAAATAAAAAACAGCTAAGGAAGCTTAAACTAAGTTTGTACCTCAACCCTTGAAGTAAAAAGCAGGTTAGAAATGATCTAGCTGCACTTAAGGTTATTAAGCATCTTGGCAGCTGTGAAACAGGCTTTTCCAGAGTCTCTCTTCTGTGATCACTTGCAAAACAAAGTGTGCTCTGTAAATTCCAGCACAATATTGTTTTATGAACTACTTGGTACTCATAACTTCTGTTCTAATTCTTGAGAACCTTTCCCAGAAATCTCCAGGCCAGTACTTGCCTTTTTAACACTGTTGATTTGCATACTGATCAATTCCTTACTCCTCCTACTAGTTCTACAGTTTTTGTAAACTTAACTAATAATTTTCTGAGCTTCACTGAACACGTGAACTAGATTTCTTACCTTCCTTATTTAGAAGATCAGGTACTTGAAAGGAAGCGGTGTCAGCTCAGGTAAACTCACACCTTATCCTCTCTCATTTACTCCCTGTAGTTTTCAATCTGTGCCAGTGGCATGGAAGGCTTTAGCCGGCATTTTGAAGGGGGCAGCTGTTAAATCTGTCCTCTGGTTGTGCTCCTGATGGATTTTTATTTTACTTTTTTAACAATCTTATTAATTCAGCTGCACTGTCATGAACCTACTAATTAATCTTTTTCCATACTCCAGAAATATTTCACTTTCTCCACTTGACATTTTTTCTCCTTGTTTGCCACTTCTTTCAACCCAAGCTTTCATCTTCTCTCTCTGTGTCCTGCAGCACTCCCCATACTGAAAATGAAAACAAAGCACTCTTAGTGTCCCTATCATTTTTAGAAATTTCTTCTTTCTGTCCCATCCATACAGCTTCACAGTCTTCATGTTTTGTCTCTTTTCCCCTTAAAGTGGCTGAATAACCTTTTGGCATTCATTTAATTTCCCCTGTGGCATCTAAATCCACTTGCCTTTGGGCAATTCTCCCTTTCTTTTCAGCTTTTCCAGCACTGAAACTGTAACTTCCATTGCTGAGTTGTAACAAACAGTCGTTTTGTGTAGATGTTCTGCCTCTTCTTTCCAGAAGTAGTTCTTGATCCAAATAAAGTGAATCCTTGTTGGGGTAGAACGACTGGGCAGCTCTTGGTTTAGAGAAACTTCAGGCATCCTCTATATTTCTATTGTTTAAGAAGTTTAAAGCAGTTCCAGGTGTTTTGTTGCAAATGTGTCTTCTTGCACCCATGTCCCTTAGTTTCAGACCTGCTTCCCCTTTATATTTCAGTTCCATTTGGACCACCATTACTTCCAATGTTATTTTCTAAGTTCTTAGGTGATAGACTTCGAAGGCAAGTTGAAAATAGTATTTCCTCTTGGTTTCTTTCCTTTTAGTGATTCTGTCAAATCTCTATCACTATTCAGTTCTAACCCTGGGTAATGTGGTTCTTGTTTATTCTTTGCTTTGACTTTGCTGGTTTTAGCCTTTCGGTTTACACTTTAAAATAGCTTTTTTTTAATAAACTTGCAGCCTGTGCATTCTGCTGCAAAAGGAGCCTTCAAAATGCTTCCTCTTACAGACCCAAAAATGTTCCAACACGGGTTGGGAGTTATACCTCCCTACATAGGGATTATTTTGGAGGAGGTCACTCTCCATGAAAAGGATTTTTTTTTTTAGGCTTCCCAAACCTTAAAAAGTCAGCTTTTGAATAGGATTTTTTTTTTTTTAAAATCAAAACAAGTAAAAGGAGGGGAGAGCCTACAAAGGAGCTATTTTGTACTCCAAGCAGCTGTGCTACAGGCTGCATCAATGGGCATTGGTGTGTTTCCCTTTAGTGGTGGATGGCTGTAGGTGTGCATTAAGAAGCTGCTAATAGACTAATGTGCACCCTGTTGTGGCTTATTGCTGTAATGAGGGGTTAGCAGTAAAAAGAAGCAGAGGAAATGGATGGGCAGAGTAGTTTGTAATGGAATGTTTGGTGAGGTTTCCCTCAGGGCATTCATAACTGTGCAATTCAGATGGAGTTTTGTGATTGAGTTGAAGCAATCAGAGGCTAAGTAGGAAAGACCTTAAAAACATTCTATGAAAAGTAAAAAGGCAACTGTTGAAAGAGCTTGGAATCCTTAATTTCAGTTTATATTATATTTTTTAGTAAATTCTTGTGTCTAGTTAGTTGACTGAGATTGATCTGGGTGGTTTCAAATAAGTTTAAAATAACAAAAATAGATAATGATGAAAAAATTGTGAAAAGTGGCTAAGATAATGGACTAGACGCTGCTGGGCTCAGACTTCCTGTCTGCAGGGATGTTAAACTTTATCTAATAAGGGGATAATAATGTCCCTTCCTTTTATTTTGTTTCTAGATAATGTAGAAATCAATGAAGCTGTAAGAAAGCACAATGATTTGTCTTCTTAAAATGCTTTTTGAGGAATGGTGGTTTCTCTACCAATGCAAGAGATTTTAAAACTTCTCTAGCATTTTCACTTTGCATTCCCCAGTGGGATAAATCTGTAGCTGAAAAGGGTGCAAAGGAGTTCACTGGGTGTGTGTGTGTACATGTTGATTCAGACAAGCCCACACTGCCTGTTGTCTCAGTAGGGTTGGGGTTAGGGAGCTCTTGGGCATGTCAGCAGTGTCCCCATCACACCTAAGGCTTTTAGCAGCTTCCATGGCTCAGTGATATCCATGAGAGGATGGTGGCTTTCACTGAAAACAAAGGAGGAAAGGAAGGAATGGGAGTTCTGGGGAGGCTTTGTGGAAGGTGTGGTAAAGAGTGTGGGGTATGTGAAGATGTGGCCTCAGGATGTGTCTCTGCAGTGCTGGGGTGAAGGTGGGAATCTAACTGCTTAGAATCTGTTTCATGCAAAGCTGTGCAAAAACAAAGGAAAAGCAGTTCTTAATTTTATTCTAATTTTTTTGGGGTGGACACCCAAAACCAGTGATGATCTTCAGGTGAGGCAGCTTGTGCAGCCAAACTCTGCCTCTCCAATAGATGTCACTGCAATCAACAGCAAATAGGGATGATGTTCAGAGTCAGATGTAGCTTGAAAAAATGCTTCAAGCTTTATGATTATAAAATGTTGAAGAAAAAAATATAGTAATTGCAAGAATTAATTGCCTAAAATATAGTAACAAGTGCATTTAGTACGGTGGATTTTCAAAGATCAAGCAGGAGCCAGGATTA